TTACGGACTTAGAAGGGTACTGGGTGGAATGGTATTCGAAGAGTTGGTGTATACTTGATGGGCCAAATGGCCTGCTTCTGCACTGTAAGGATTCTATGAATATATATTAACAACTTGACAGAAGGAAGCGAATGTACTGTAGCCAAATTTACAGACCAAAATACCTGGAAAGACAAGTTGTGAGAGGGATGCAAATAATTTACAGAGAGATGTTGATAGGTTAAATTGTGACAAATGGAGTATGCTGTGTGTAAATGTGAAGTTTATTCATTTTGGAAGAGTGAATGAAAGAACAGAATATTATTAGAATGAAGAAAAACTTCAGAAAGCTGCAACAGTAAGGGACTTGGAGGGACCTGTACATGAAACAGCTAGCACACAGAGAGTCAGAGGCTCACCTCTTCACTCCCCAAAGACTGTCCACAATGTATACAGCACAAGTCAGGAATGGAATACTCTTCACTTGCCTGGATGGGTCCGTCTCCAACAACACTCAAGAAGCTTTGTCCATCCAAGGCAAAGCAATCTGTTCGATTGGCACCAGGTCAACAAAAATTCACAGCAGCTGGACTTGTACAATCTGCAATATGCACTGCAGAAATTCATCAAAGCTCCTTAGACAGCACTTCTAAACCCAGTATCACTTCCATCTAGAAGGACAAGGGCAGCAGATACATTGGAACACCAACACCTATAAATTCCCCTCCAAGCCACTCACAATCCTGACTCGGAAATACATCGCCATTGCTTCACTGTCACTCAGTCAAAATCCTGGAACTCCCTCCCCAAAGGCATTGCAGACCCACCTACAGCAGGTGGGCTGCAGTGGTTCAAGAAACCAGCTCACCACCATCTTCTCCAGGGCCAACTAGGGATGAGTAATAAAAGCTGGCCCAGCCAGTGACAGTCAGGTCCCACGAAAAGAATAGAAACTAACTGTTCGATTTTCATTCCTTTCATTCTGTGACCTGGTGGGCATTCTCAATTTGGTTCTTCAGCCCAAATTCCAATTCGAAGACCAAACCAACTTCATTGTGACTTTGAAATGATACAGGATGATATGACATCAAACATTTGCCTTGCGTACAATCTCCAGTATGTTATCCGCTTATTAGTACACTTTTCAAAACCACCTTCCAAGTGTAATTCATTCTTTGTCCCCTGCAGTGTACTGCACATGTGCAGAGGCTGACCCTGAGACACACACAGCAGCAGATGGGTGTGGATCATTCTCTGTTCCCTGTTCTGTACAGGACATGTACAGTGAAGAAACATAAAACAGCTGACTGACAATGGAAAGGAACAGTTTGAAGGAGATGGAGGGGGTGAGGCCAGGGAGAAATTTACAAGGACGAGAATACAGATTTATCAAATCCAGGTGTTGTTGAGTGGGGATCTGATGTATGTCCGTGAGCCCAGGTAGTGATGGGAAAAAGGTTTAATAAGGGACAGAAAGCTGACTGTGGGAACAAACAGGTCATTTTCAGGTTGACAGGTTGGCGTTACTGGGTGCTACAAGACAAGATAGGAACAGGCAAAAGTTGATACGTTATGTCAGTAGCAATGAAGCGAATGCAGATTTAGCTCCACATCCCCATCCAAAAGGAGCTCACAGAAAAGACATATATGCAGGAGTATCCGGTGAGATTACTTTTTTGTTATAGAATGGATATGTCTTTTCTTCATTCATTCATGGGATGTGGGTGTCACTGGCTGGACCAGGCTTTATTGACCATCCCTAATTGCCCAGAGGGCTGTTCAGTGTCCACCACTTTGCTATGGTTCTGGAGTCACATGTAGGTCAGACCAGGTAAGGATGGCAGTGAAGGGTCTAAGCCCGAAACGTCAGCTTTCCTGCTCCTCTGATGCTGCTTGGCCTGCTGTGTTCATCCAGCTCTACACCTTGTATATTATCAGAAAAACCCATCTGGTTCCCTAGTGTCCTTTAGGGTAGGAAACTGCCATCTTTACCTGGTCATGTTGGGCTGAACAAATCCCCGAAACAAAGATAATGGCCAGAGAAACAAAACAAAATTAAATAAAGGTTTTTTTTTTTAAGAAACATGGACAAAGATACAGGCTAGGCTAGCTCCTCTTGTCTTGTTCCAAACACAACTAGGCATTATCTCGCATCCACCCAAGCAGGTCACCCTAAACTTGTCTGTACATCAGATTCAGAAGATGGTACTTCCAAGAGTTGGAGGCAATAAGGACTGCAGATGCTGGAAGCCAGAGTCTATAGCTGTAAGGCTGGAAAAGAACAGCAGGTCAGACAGCATCCGAGGAGCAGGTAAGTCAATGTTTTGGACCGAGAAGTTGACTTACCTGCTCCTTATTTGCTGTCTGACCCGTTGAATTTCCAAGAGTGCAAGGCACCTTCAGCACTACACTGATGTGCCTGCCCTAATTTGTATCCTCAAACATTTAGCCAAGTCTTTCAGAAGGTTTTGAGAAGCAGTGTGAAAACATAAGCTTTTCAATTCTTTTACCTTTCGATTATAATTCTCCTCACCAGCATTTGTTGCCTTTTTACACTGACTACATCTCTCACATTCTATTGAAGTTAGCACTCTCCCAGTTTACAATTTCTACTTGAGATTGTTTCTTTCTAACAGAGAAAAAGCAAGGAAAAAAGGAAGGAGTTGGCCATTTGGCCCTTTGAGCCCGCTCCACTATTCAACATGATCATGGTTGATTATCTAACTCCATACCCTATTCCCACTTTCTTCCCATACAGGGGTCCCTGTTTTACGAATGTATGACTTACAAAGCTTGTACTTATGAACATGATCCTGTTGATTGGGATGCCGTTAACGCTGAAATGAGAGGGTTGTGAGTGTTTGCCACAAAGAGCTGTGGGGGCAGAGTCCTTGTGTATATTTAAGGCTGAGGTGGGTAGATTCTTGATCAGTCGGGGAAGCAAGGGTTATGGGGAAAGGGCGGGAAAGTAGATGTCAGATCATCCATGATTCTATTCAATAGAAGAACAGGCTTGAGGAGCCAAATGGCCTATGCCTGTTCCATATTTCCTATGTTCTTGCTTTTAAATCTTATTTTCCTGCACTTGGCCCATTGCCTTGTATGACTTGCCTTCGCATGTGCGATTCTACCACTCTTATAGGAAGAGACTTCCAGATTCCCAGCAGCATCTGGGTGAAAATGCTTTTCCTAACTTCCCTTTTAAACCTTCTGCCCCTTGCTTTAAATCTATGCTCCCTGGTCATTGATCCTTCCACTAAAGGGAATTGTTTCTTCCTGTATAGCTTGTCCATACCCCTCATAATTAAATCAAAGAACTAAAAGCAACACAGCACAGGAACAGGCCCTTCAGCCCTCCCAAGCCTGCGCCAACAGATTTTGCCCTTCCATACTAAAACTGTCTTCACTTAAAGGATCTGTATCCCTCCATTCCCTTTCGATTCATGTATTCGTCCAGGTGCTTTTTGAATGCTCCTCTTGTGTCTACTTCCACCACCTCCTCTAACAGCACGTTCTGGGTACTCACCAACATTTGTGTGAAAAGAATTGTCTCACACTTCTCTTTTAAACTTCACCCCTTGCACCTTGAACATGTATCACCTAGTAATTGACCCCTCCACCCTGGGAAAAAGCCTCATACTTTCCACTCTATCCATGCCATTCACAATCTTTTAAACTTCAATTAGGTCGCCCCTCAATCCCCTGCGTTCCAGTGAAAACAAGCCCAGTTTATCCAACCTTTTACAGAGAGAGTGGTGGGCATGTGGAATGTGCTGCCAGCAGTGGTAGTGGAGTCTGATACTTTAGAGACTTTTAAGTGACTCTTGGATAGGCACAATAATGCTAGTATAATGTAGGGTATGCAGGGTAGTTTGATCTTAGTAGGACAATAGGTCAGCACAACATCGTGGGCCGAAGGGCCTGTACTGTATTGTACTGTTCTATGTTCTATGTTCAACCTTTCTTTGTAGCTAAAATCCCCCATGCTAGGTAACATCCTGATGAACCTTTTCTGTACCCTCTCCAAAGCTTCCACATCCTTCTGGCAGTGTGGTGACCAGAGCTGTATGCAATATTCCAAGTGTGACCTAACTAAATTTCCATAAAGCTGCAGCATAACTTATCCATCCTTATACTCAATGTCCCTTCCAATGAAAGCAAGCATGCCATAAGCCTTTTTACTACCTTATCTACCTGTGCTGTCACCTTCAGTGATCTGTGGACCTGCACGCCCAGATCCCTCTGCATAATAATACTCCTAAGACATTCACTGTATAATTTCCACCTGTACTTGACCTTCCAAAATGCATCACCTCACATTTGTCTGAATCAAACTCCATCTGCCATTTTTCTGCCCGTGCCTCCAACTGATCTGTATCCTGCTATATCCTCTGACAATTCTCCTCATTTTCTGCAACTCAACGAATCTTTGTGTCATCTGCAAACTTACTAATTAGACCAGGTACATTTACTTCCATGTCATTTATGTAGATCACGAACATCCAGAGGTCCCAGCACTGATCCCTGTGGAACACTGCTAGTCACAGCCCACCATTCCAAAATGCACCCTTCCGCTGCTATCCTCTGTTTTCTGTGACTAAGCCATTAGCCAGCGCCTGAGACAGCATCTTCCAAACCCATGATGACGAGAAGAACAGGGGCAGCATTTACATGGGAACACCACCCCCGATAGCACATGGATTGCTATGGTTGAAAACGCAGCTCACTGCACTTTCTCAAGGGCAACTGTGGACAGGTAATAAATGCTGGCTTAGCCAGTGACACTGCCTTGCCACAAGTACATTAAAAAAAAATTGCACTCGTGTATACTCAATGCAAATCTACATGTCCAGTGTATATGTATGGTCACAGAGACAATGTGTAAGTACAAATATGAACCAAAGCCATACATCTATTTACCCAAGGAAATTTTAGTTCACTTCTACTTAATGTTTAAACAATCTTAGAATCAACGTTTGAGGAGCTATCACTATTTTCTTAAACTCCTCCCTGAATTTCCTCTAAGTAGCCGCATATATGCACGTATTTGGTGATGAACTTAAATGCTTCAACATAGCGCCAACTTCTGTGGCAATATATCCAGTAGCCATGTAGTCACCTCTGTAGTAATTGGTGTTGGATATTCTGGTCATTAGGAAGCTCACGGCAGTCGTCATCCAGAGCAATACAAAGCTGCTCGATATAGTGAGGAGCAAAATGATGGACTTCCTTCGGTTCTCCACCTCAACGTCACTTTGCATCCCACTCTGCTGACCTCGGAGTTCCCTGCGCGCTCTGCTGGCCACTAAAATTCGACTGATTGTCAAAGAATTTAACAAAATAATTAAGGCAAATGGAAGCCAAACAAGCATGATGCTGTGAAACCAGGAGTAAGGTAATGAAACACGTAAAGATGAGAAAACTGCAATTGTCCGGCAGCCCCACTGCACATTGTTAACTGTTCGTTCTGCTTCATAGACAAATGCAATGGGGTTATTCTTGACAACAATAAAAGTAGAGAAAGCTATTACAACTTTCGTGGCAGTTCTCGCTATGCAATACTTTAATTTAACCTTTGCGTAGCATATAGCTACAAATCTGTCAAATGTGAAGGTGACCGTGAACCAAACAGACAAATCAAGGGTGACAACACTCAGGCACAGAATAACCCTGCACACAGGAGTGAAGGACAGGAATGAAAGTGGGAAGTGGTTACTGAATATATAATACAACATTACATTGATGATCATGACTAGCAGATCTGCTGCTGCCATTGCTATCATGTAGACAGAGATACATTCAGACAGGCCACAGTTTCTCCGTAAGAGAATCATGATCGTCACCAGATTAGCTGTAATGAAGACAGAAGAATAATTAATCTTACATTTCTGAATGAATTGCATTTGGATTTGCCTGTAGTAGACCATTTAATCAATACAGTTTAATCAGCAGAATGTTGCATTTTGAGAACATGATTGCAGTTGAAACAATCATCTCTAAAAGCTTGATCCAGTATAATCAGCTTCTCCAACATTCACACTGAACATGGCAATATGACTGACTGTAGTTCTACAAAATAATTTTGAAGCAAATATTTGCACCTCAGTAATGTTAGTACACAAAGGGTCTGCAGAGTGTGTAATTCAATACTTTCTCCTAGGGATGAATGACTATGTAAGGCTAACATGTGGTGAGCAGGTTAGTTTACTGAGCATGCAGTATGAGCATGGATAGAGTTAACACCACACTAAAACACAAATTACAGTGACTTACCAGGACAACCAATAGCGGCAAGAATTATGAGCTGAGACTTCAAGCAGTGTACAGCAGAAGCAATGACAGGAAACCAATACATATATGCAAATTAACCCTCCAGAGATTCAATCTGGTTACAATCATTGAACAATGATCTTAGTCAAGATGCCTCTTTTATAACAATTCACATTAAAAAAAAACACACAAATTGTTTGTTTGTCATTAATATTCTTTAAAAAGGAAATCTCACTTAAACCAGTCAACATAATTGGAAGTTAATAAGCTCAATACTGGGGCAGAGCAGGTAAAGGAAGATCACCTTGCACAGTATTTCATGTTTCTACCCCAAACTCAGTCCAAATCACCCACATTTTGGAGAAAGGGGGAAAAATCAATTCCTCCAGCATAAGAGATAGATGTAGGCTTGGTCATTCTTTTTTGCCGTATTAGGGGAATTGTACATGAGACAAGATGGTGCCCTTCTTCAATCTACATCCACATTGACATTCCCATTGATTTTGCTCCAAAGGTTTCACATACTCAGTGTAATTGCTATTGACCAGAAACTCATCTGAGCTCACCATGTAGATACAGTGCTTACAACAGGACATCAGAGGCTAACAATTCTGCAGTGAGTAACTCACCTCCTGACTCCCCAAAGCCTGTCCCACCATCTACAAGCCGCAAGTCAAGAGTGTGATGGAATACTCCCCACTTGCCTGGATGAGTCCAGCCCCAACAACACTCAAGAAGCATGACACTATCCAGGACAAAGCAGCCGTATTGATTAGTACTACATCCACAAGCATCCACTCCCTCCACCACTGACACTCAGTATATCGTCTACAAGATGCACTGCATAAATTCACTGAAAGATCCTTAAACAGTATCTCTCCAAAACTATAATCCCTTCTATCTTTAAGGAACATGGCAGTGAATACGTGGGGACACCACCATCTTGTAACTTCCTCTCTCCCCCACCAAGCCATTCAACATTCTAATTTGGAAATGTACTGTTCCTTCAGTGTCACTGAGGCAAATTCCTGTAACGCTTTCCTAAAAGCATTATGGTCTAACCTTCACTGGACTGTAGTGGTTGAGATGGTAGCTCACCACCACTTTCCCAAGGGCAATTGGATACAGACAATAAAGGCCGGCTTAGGCAGCAGCACATACGTCATGAAAATAAAAGAGAATGATGGATCCTCCTTTTTGAATAATCTTCCCAGTGACTGTCACTGATTCTCTCCAAATCTATCTCCTAAACTAATATCCCCCTCATTTCTGGTAGCTCAGTTTTCATGTCCATGTATTTGGTCTTGTTTATGTTTATGTTTAAGATTTAAGTCTTAGACCCATTCTTCCCCCTTTCAAACATGCTGTAAAATTCAATTGATTATGGTCACTTCTACTTTGAGGTTCCTCTACTCTAAGATCATTAACTTATCCTGTCATATTATACAATATCTTGTCTACTGTAGACTGCTGTGGTCAGATTTGAAATGTGCTCCTCCTAGGTACAATCTCCAAATCATTTTTCATCAAGGCTACCATTGTCAATAGGACTTCTTTTCTTTAAACAAAAATCATATTTAGACTAAAAACTCTCATAATTATTGCTTTATCACAATTCCCAATGTTTCTTCTGCTATACTTCTTCATACATTGTAGTCACTGTCCAGTTTATCACTCCCAATAGCGATAGACTTACACTTACTATTCCTCATCTCCATCCGATTTTACATCCTTATCTCCTGAAACAAGAGCATCCCTGAATATTGCACAAAAACCTTCTTTGACAAGGAGTCTTACCTGGATTACTATACTACCGAATGCTATTAATTGCCAATATTCAGAACCCACTCACCGTAACCGTGCAGCCAAGTCTCTGTGTTGTCTTCTATATCACATTTATTAAGTTCAGTGCACATTATTGAGACATTAATTTCTTTATGAACTGAATGTGCATTCAAACATGGAGCTTATATTGTTTATTCTGCCCTGTGTTAATATTCCAGCATCTGGGTCTTGATTGCTGGTATATTTTTAGGCATTTTTCTCCCTGTCATTCTCTCACCTTCCTTTGCCACATTAGTATTTTACACTTCTGCCTCAACTCTATCCCTTTATTTCTGAAATGTGTCCAATCCTGATCCCTCATGTTCATTTTCCCTGAAACAGCTCCATGAAGGCCCATCACAAAGTCACCCTTTGTTTAAACATGCCTAGTCCATGACACTGATCCAGCTAGTTCAGAGATGGCTCTTGGAGTGAGCAGAACCCCTGGCACTCCTGTTTATATCTGTCAACCAGGGATCCCTGGTTGGCCCCTGGTTAACAGCCCCAATCAGGGAACTCATATTCTATGAAGTCCACCTGACTGACCTTGTTCAAATCACTATATCCCAAATCCTCTAAGTGCTGGGACATAGGCCCATTCTTTTTCCTGTAGCTTCTCCTGGGGCATTTTTACCCCAGGTCCAGTTCCTCTAACTCAGCCTCAGATACAGGCAGCATGTATTAGACCGTAGCTGACTCTTTCACCTGAAGAATCTAGGCCAAAATTCATCTTCTTCTTCAGGCAATAACATTGTTGACACTACAATATCTGCCATGTCTATCTCGTCCTCAGAGGTTTCTTCGATGCTAGGTGGAGGGGGAGAATACACGGGTTTGGACAACCCTTATCAGATGTTCTGAGGGGCCAGGTATGTTTGCTCCTGCCCCGTTTGCAAGGCTGCAGCTTTCATGTGGCCCATGTGCCAGTTCAGGAACACCTCTCCTACCTGAACTTTGTACATTACGGGACCTCGTGGTGCCCTTACCTCTTACCAATGCAGATCTGTTCTCATGATTTTGACACAAAACTTTATCCCCTGAAGTAAACTGTCTCTCTCACTTGGCGGAGTCTTGTGTCTGGTATTGGTGTTCCTCCCTCCCAGTCAGCCCTGGGAAAATCAGCTTTAACTTGATGTAGAGACTTCTCCCCATTAGCAATGCTGCTGGAGCTGTCCCTGTCGTTGCATGAGGGCTGTTCCTATAATCAAACAGAAACCAGGACAGTTTTGCATCGAGTGAAGTTGCAGGCTGTTTCCTTTAACTTGCCTTCAAAGTTTGGACTATTCTTTCCACCAGACCATTGGACAATGGATGGTATGGAGCTGTCCTTAAGTGCTGAATGCCATTCAACTTTGGGAAATACTCAAAGTCCCTGCTGGTAAATGATGGCTTATTATCTGCGACTAACAATTTCGGGAACCCGTGTATTGCAAAGGAGGCTTGCAACTTTTCATTTATCATGTTTGATGAATGAACTCTATGCACATTCAAACGCTTTGATTGGGTTTCCACAATGATTAAATATAAAGCCTGTGAAAGTCAATGTTTAACCGAGTCCAGGGTATGCCCGGCCATTCCCATGAATGTGAGGGAGTTGCTGGCAATAATTTGTGTCCTTGTTGGCACTCTGGGCACTGGCCCACAAAGGCAATTATGATGGCAACCTATCCTGGCAACCAGACATAACCTCTCGCCAACATCTTCATCTTGGAAATACGTGGAAGATCCTGATGCATTTCAGCCAGTATCTATGATGTGGAGGTGCCGGTGTTGGACTGGGGTGGACAAACTCAGAAGTCACAAGACACCAGGTTAAAGTCCAACAGGTTTATTTCTGGTAGCTCCTGGGGACAGATCCACCTTTATGCATTTTAAGATATCCAGAACCTCCTCCTCTGTAATATGGACACTAATCAAGATATCACTATTTATTTCTCCATGTTCTATATCTTCCATATTCTTCTCAACAGTAAACACTGATGCAAAATACTCCTTTAGTATTTCCCCCATCTCCTGCATTTCCACATATAGGTTGCTTTGTTGATCTTTAAGGAGCCCTATTTTTTCCCTAATTACGCTTTTGTCCTTAATGTACTTATAGATTCTCCTTTGGATTCTCTTTAGCCCTATTTGCCGAAGCTATGTAGTGACCCCTTTTTAGCCCTCCTCAGTTCCCTCTTGAGTATACTCCTACTGCCCTTATACTCCTCGAGGGATTCACTTAATCCTAACTGTCTTTACCTGATATATGTCTCTTTCTTTATCTTGACCACAGCCTCAATTTCTCTAGTCATCCAGCATTCCCTACACCTACCAGCCTTGCCTTTCACACTAACAGGATCATACTGTCTCTCGTTATCTCATTTTTGAAGGCCTCCCACTTTCCAGCCATCCCTTTACCTAGGAATAGCCTCTCCCAATCAACTTTTGAAAGTTCTTGCCTAACACCGTCAAAATTGGCCTTCCTCCAATTTAGAACTTTAACTTTTAAATTAGGTCTATCCTTTTCCATCACTATTTTAAAACTAATATCATGATGCTCACTTATGAATGAACCTCTCATGTATTAGAGTTGATCTTTCCCTGTAGCTGTAACACTATATTCTGCATTCTGTTCCACTACCATGATTCTATTATGTAAGGAATGATTTGCCTGTACAGCATGCATCCTTGCATCGTGGTACATGTGACAATAATAAATCAAATCAAACGCCCTCCTGTAGCTACTGACCAAACTAGT